GGATTTTGATTCTTGTTTTGAATTATGAGGAATGTGTTTTGTTCAATCTATACGAGTTGTGTGAATTATATGGTTAGTTGATTGATCACCATTCTAACCTAGTTAATCGACGTTTAGAACCGAGAGGGGAGATGTCGGTCGATTTAGGCTCGTATAGAGTAGACATGTTCGTAAAAGTATTGTCTATGTGTTGCCTGTTTGAATGAATTTATCGTTTATGTTTGTGCTCTTGTTACGAAGAGTTATTGAGCATAGTCCTCTAGACGTGTAGGCTTGTTTAATCTCGTAACCGAACAAATAAGCGTTCAACATAGTTTAAGACTTGATGAGATTTTCCGACCCCTAGAACTTCTTCTTTTTCTCTAGAAATTTAATTGCTATTTCTTTAAATTGTTTTTCTAGTTCTAGCTTGTCTTAGCTGATTCCCCAAATCAATCGTGATTAGAGTGTTTAGGACTTATTTTCTTTTCGTGTGTGATCAAGACCAACGCTAAATTCCGAACCGTCTTCCTCGAGAGATCGACCCGGGGAACGAATCCTTCGATTTGGTACTCTGTAAAAAAAAACTAAATAATTTGCTACAACAATAAATATGGCCGAAAATTTGAATACATATTTATCTAATTCAGAATTTCAAATCAAATTAATTCACGTAGTGAGCTCCAGCCGAGTCTGACCTTAACAGCCACAGCCCCACCGACGCGCAACCAGCTTTGCACATCCACCGCCGGAAGCATCGTCGGCGACCCTATAATTAGCTGCAATACCGTGCCCAGGATAATCTCAGCAAACTTGTGGTTCAGTTTCCTCAACACACCAAATTGTCCTTTGGTCTCCTCCACAACCCCTATTTAAAAATACCAGCATTTAGCAACAAAAACATAAAAAAGAACAAAAAATTTCTCTTCCTCTCCCAATATAATTTCCGCTAAATCTCAAGGCAGAAAACAAACACTACTTCAAAATGCGAGGATTCCCATGAAACGCAATATATAAAAGCTCCCAATATCATCTTAGCAACATCAAAAAACCAAATGAAAATTGAAAAAAAAAATGCAGAAAAANGAAAAAAAAAAAAAAAAAACAGAAAAACAAAGCAAAAATCAAGCTAAAAAACCAAAGAAAATCACATGGTACAGGGTGAGACCGGTGAATAAGCGGAAGGCTCCACTGGCTAATCCTCATGACGGAATCAATCTCCGAGTCAACGCCTCGAATACTCTAGCGCAGGCCACCGGAGCCGTGGAGATGGTGCCGAAAGTCGTCCACTGCTTCTCGAGCGCAACGTGGTGGGGAAGGGGCGGTTGGAATCACTCCCGTCGCTGGCTATTGAGCTGATGGTGGAGAGTCCACCGGCGGCGCACCAGAGGAGGGCAAGGGGGCGACACGGTGGGGGTTAGGGTTTTTGGAGCGGATGGGAAAGAGTCACGAATGTTTGGTATTCATTCCCAAATTAAACTGGATTTTAATTAGATAAATGGACAAAATTTTATTTTCAAATTTCAGAAAAATTCAAACTGATTTAAAAGAGTGTGATATTTCAAAATTTTTCGAAAAAATTTACTTAATTTAGTAAGTCTAAATTGTAGGCGGGAAACCAAATAATTTTAAAATACTATTTTAAGATTATTTAAGTTACCTCTTTATATAATAATAAATTATTATTTTACTATAAACTCTGTTGCCATATAATGTCATTATTATTTATAAAGTTATAGAAGTTGCACGTCTTCTTGTTCTTTTTATTTTATGTAATGAAATATATTTAATGCATGTTGGTATTATTTATATAAGTAATCAATTTAAAATATATAAATAAATTTAAAATTAAATAGTGTATAAATAATGTACAAAATATACACATATATTTTTTTAGAATTTAATTTTGTATACTAATTAAACAACTTTGATTTAAGAAAAGCCACGAACTCAATCTCTTCTAATATCAATATTTTTCTAATTCGCATTATAATAATTATTCTTATTATATATAATAGATTAGAATTTTTGCGACACCAACCAAACTAAATATCACAACAACCAAGTAACAATTATGAAAAACCCATAACACAACAACTATCAATAAAATTTGGTAATAGAAAAATTACATACATATATATAAAAATATGAGGATTCTATATTTCTATTAACTGATGTATACAACACGTGTATATTTTGTTAAGGTATATTGGAATGTTCAATTTTATAGCATGATAACAATCAATCTTAAAAAATCGAAAATCTTATTGAAATGCCATATTTTTTTGTTAAAAAAAAAGTTCCCATAAAAAATAATTATATCATAGCAAATTCATTGTGTAATTGAACAAATTTCTATAATGAAGCCCGATTTTCTGTACGAAAATAAAGCAACAACTTTTACATTTTAAGGAAATCAGTTAATGTTGGTCCGTTTTTGTTAAGAAAATAATAAATAAATAAATTATAATTAATAAAAAGTAATTAATGATGAGAGAATTTGATCATATAGTTGACTTGCCGTTTTTTAAAAATAGTAATTCTTATTATATATATATAGATATAGATAAATAAATCAGTTAAATAAAATATTAATACCGAAATAAGACATTTAATGCAATTGACTTTTCTGAATACTAAATATAGTAAATATGATCCTTTTATATAAGTATAGATTTTGGGCTAGCCTTTATTTTGTTAGGTTATACTTATTCCCAAAGGCTTAACAACATAATATAAAAAAAATAAAAAAATAAAAAGAAACTAAAAACACAAAGTAGTGACGAAACAAGAAACAAACCAATTAGGCCATCAAAGTCGGGCCCAGAACGGAATTGCAGCCGAATGGTCCGCCGTCCGGCAATAGTCACCGCCCGCAATCTCTGCTTCGCCACACAAATCCGTTTACTTGAGGAGAGCTTTGCTATCCGTTATTTATTTTTCATGTAGGGATTGTTCAAGTGTTTGTATATTCGCAAACAGATATGGAAGACGAAGTCCAATCGCCGCCCGACCACAAGCTTTGCGGTTATCTCTGTGCTGTCCTCGCATTCCCCTGCGACGCCTCTATCCCTCCCCACTCGGTTTGCCGCCTCGCCGGCGACCTTCCAGATGTACACTTCCTGGCCCCGGACGGCGCCCGCTTGAACCCCATTGCCAAAGCCCAATCACTCGCGACGCCGTCCTCGAAGAAGAGGTGGAGCAGAATTGGGATGGTCCACGGATCGATTAGCGTGGTTCACCAATTGGGTACCCTCGTGGCTCACAAATGCTTGAGAATTGTGGCCCGAATCGTGAATGTCTCTCCGGCGGAGAGTGGGTGTAGCGAAATTAGGGGTGTGGTGTTGGTGGATGTGTACCTGCCCATTGGGCTGTGGTCTGGGTGGCAGTTCCCTCGTTCGAGTTCCACGGCCATAGCACTTTTCAAACACTTGAGGTTGGGTTCTACTGAGAAATTTGGCTGTCTTGCTTTTAATTCTTTGCTTTTGGCTCTCTTGCTTTTAATTCTTTGCTTTTACATATAGCATATTTATGCTGTGTTCACTTTGCGTGGAAGATTCAAATGACCAGTTATCCGCAGACTGTTGATGGATGCAAGTTCGTAATTTTGCAGTGATTTTGAAACCTGCTGTGCTACTAATCTAACTGATGTGCATACCTATGAAAATTTCTTTACCATTGTGATCCCTATAGATTTTATCATTTCATGCTTCTTGCATTATTAGTCTTTCGCTATTAGTTGAAACCATTGCAATGTGGTACTTCTAAAATAATCACTATTGGGGTACTGAACTAAGCTTTTCTTTCATTTTGCTTTTGAAAAGCTCGTAAGACATTACTCTTATGCTAAGGTGAACACAAGTGGGTCGGATACACCTCTATGTTTTACACCTTGGTGTGGATTAACTTCTGAACATGGCGTATATCTTGCACAAAATTTCACTTTAATTGGTTGTTTTCTGTTGTATGCATTTCCTTGCAATTTTTGTAACATTTATCATTAAAAGATTATCGGTATATTTTTTTTCATGGTCATTAACGATTTAAGTTAGTAAGGGAACAATGTCTTCACTGACTCAAAATATTACGCCAGCCTCCTTTTTTTATTTTCTCTTTTTTTCTGAAGTCATGTGAAGAGATTAAGAATTAAGAATATTGTGCAGTGTGAAGTGTGATCCAGATTTGTACAGAAGAGTGAGGCAACTAATTTAGTTTGGGCTATAGCAGAATCTAGTAAACTAAATGGTTAAAGGATGAGCTAATATATAACATATACCCAACCTTCTCATATATCGCCCACCTTGAAAATTCGCAATATAAACATTTGGATTTAATTATTCTTTTCCAAACTTGCAGTGATTTTGCTCCCAGGAATCTTATTTGGCGTGCTGGGATGTATCAGTTATAAAACTATTATTTGCAATTTGGCTTCCAAAAATTTCTTTTCTTTTTGGCATTTGGCAAAAAATTATTCCATCTTTCAGTATTTGGCGCTTTCTTCATAATGCCCTCTGGAGTGTATGACGAATAAGTACAAACTATTTTTGAAATGACAAATACAAACTGAAAGGTAAAAACTTTAATTAAATATTTAAAGGTTGATCTGTCAGAGAAAATGTAAAAGAAATATTAGACTCTTTGTTTGCAGTGCAGATATATCAGATATATTCTTGGCGAGAAATTCAAGAAGAAAATGTGTGATTTGTGTGATATGATTATAGGAAACTTAGAGAATATATATAAAAAAGTATGTGATGTTCCCTTATTTTCTTACCTTTCGGTAGTAAACTATGCTAGTAGCATGATGGGATTAGCCCTAACCAATCAAAATAAATTTTGCCTCTATTAGCGTTATCTTTATTACAAGTATGTAACACGTGAACAACTGTAGGTGAGACTTGACGTCCTGTAAAGTAATTTAGATGAAGTCTGCATATATATTTTACTGAAATGAGTTGGTACTCAAATTAACCTTTTGATAGAAAATAAAGTATTTTTAAAAATAAAGAAACTAGTAGAAAACAAAACATTTTTCCAATCTTATAGTGGCTTTTCTTGGATAAAGCCGTATGCGGCTCGCCATAGTGTATCTTTTATAGAAGTACTTCTTCAATTTGATGCATTAATTAATATCTTTTCAGAATGGTTTCCAATAATTATTTTCTTTTTCTTTTTGATAAATAAATGATCTTTCAGTTGATGCTGATGTGGTTTAGCTGATGTTCGCAGCTGTGACTGGGAAGCTAGAAGCTTGTTGCTTACATCTCAAAGTGTGGATAGTGGTGGCATTTGGAATGTGCCAGACTGTCATGTCCTTGGCTGTATGCTTCATTGTAGTGTACCCGACAATTCCAAGAAAAAAAAGCTTTTCGAACTCCAGGAAATCTTTGAGAGTTTACCCTGTGTGACAAAGAAGGTAAATTGTGATGGAGGAACAGGAGTAAAACCAGCAGAATCATCCAACAAGTCTGGTATCTGGGTGCTGTCAGATGATCTATTGATTAATATTTTGAATATGCTAAGCCCGGTCGACCTTCTTAAGATTTCTCTAACATGCCATCATCTAAGGTACTTGCAAGCATCAATCATGCCATGTATGAAACTTAAGTTGTATCCTCATCAGCAGGCTGCAGTTGAGTGGATGTTACAGCGTGAAAGGGATCCTGAAGTCTTGAAACATCCTCTGTATATGGATTTTATAACCAGTGATGGGTTTGAATTCAATATGAATATGCTTTCTGGTGAAATTGCCCCTGGTGTAGCTTGTACCATTAGGGACTTCAGGGGGGGAATGTTCTGTGATGAACCTGGATTAGGTAAGACTATTACTGCCCTATCACTTGTTCTGAAAACACAAGGAACTATGGCAGAACCCCCAGATACAGTACAGGTGATCTGGTGCATGCATGATGGGAATCGTAGGTGTGGATATTATGAAGTCAGTGCAGACAATATAGCCAGGGCTAGTTTTTCTAATATTGACACACCTGTGGTGAAGAAAGCTCGTAGGGGAAGATTATCTTTAGATGAACTCACCCCAGACGTGATATGCAGTGGCACTGTTTCAAATTCCTCCAGGCTTCTTGGTTGCACGGAGCAAAAGCTGGAATCCACTGTTTTACATTCCGGTAAACAAATGAAAATGCACACACCTACAAGCCCAATAACAAGTGTCTCTGTGCAGGGTAGCAGGGGTTGGGCTAGTGCTAGAAAAAATCTTTTGGCTGCATATGAGGAGCCGCCTTTCACTTCTGAGAAATGCTCTAAAAAAGGGAAGCTATCTCATAAGGGCCAAAAACGGAGATTTTCGGGCAACCAAGTTTCTTCATCCCGTGCTATATCATTCACTAGAAAACGGGATGACGAGATGGTGACGTATGATGCAGAGTGTAATGAAACTTGGGTTCAGTGTGATGCTTGTAGCAAGTGGCGGAAGCTAGCAAATGGAGTTGTCGCCAATGCTTCCACAGTGTGGTTTTGTAGCATGAATAGTGATCCGTCATACCAGAGTTGTGATGTTCCTGAAGAATCCTGGGATTTTAAAGGATCTATTACATACCTACCTGGATTTCGTACCAAAGGATCCTCTGGTGCCCTGGAAGAAAATATATCCTTTTTTACTGGTGTGTTAAAGGAACACCACACCTTGATCAACTCTGAGACAAGGAAAGCCTTGACTTGGCTAGCTAAACTTTCGCCAGATAAACTTGCTGAAATGGAAACAACTGGGTTGGTGAGCCCAAGTGTGGGCACGTCTCTGTTTGATACTAGGGTTGCCCGCGATTATCACAAAATATTCCGAGCATTTGGCCTTGTAAAAAGAGTTGAAACGGGTGCGTTGAGGTGGTTCTATCCAAAAGGTCTTAGGAACCTTTATTTTGATTTGGATTCCCTTCGAATTGCTCTCTGCGAGCCATTAGACTCAGTTAGGTTGTATCTGTCTAGTGCAACTTTGATTATTGTCCCCTCAAATCTAGTTGAGCATTGGAAAACTCAGATTGCAAGGCATGTCAGCCCAGGTCAGTTGAGAGTCTATATATGGGGTGATCAAAAGAAGAAACCTTCTGTCCACAATTTGGCTTGGGATTACGATGTCGTAATTACTACCTTCAGTCGATTGAGTGCTGAGTGGAGTCCCCGTAAAAAGAGTGTCCTAATGCAGGTTCACTGGCTTAGAGTCATGTTGGACGAGGGGCACACTCTTGGCTCAAGTCTCAATTTGACCAACAAATTGCAAATGGCGCTGTCGTTGACTGCCACTTGTCGCTGGTTGTTGACGGGTACTCCAACTCCCAACACTCCCAACAGTCAGCTGTCTTATCTCCAACCCATGCTGAAGTTTCTCAAGGAAGAGACATATGGGCAGCATCATAAATCTTGGGAAGCAGGTATCATCAGGCCATTTGAGGCAGAAATGGAGGAGGGCAGGTCTCGTTTATTGCAGTTGCTTAACAGGTTGCTACAGACTGATCTAGATATAGTGATACTTCTTTGTTGATTTCTATATCTAAGATAAATTAGCGGAGATTAAGCACACAAGGTTCATTATAACCTCGTGTTCTGTTCTTTATTTGCTGCATAAATAGTATTTATTTCTATATGTAAACACTAGACTATTTGTGTTAACCATTCACTCTGTCACAGGTGCATGATTAGTGCAAGGAAGAAAGATCTAAAAGCAATCCCACCTTGCATAAAAAGAGTAACTTTTGTGGATTTCTCCGAAGAACATGCAAAAAGTTATAATGAATTGGTAGAGACAGTTCGGCGTAATATTTTAATGGCGGACTGGAATGATCCATCTCATGTTGAGAGTTTATTGAACCCGAAACAGTGGAAATTTCGGGCTACAACAATAAAAAATGTTAGGTTATCCTGCTGTGTGGCTGGACATGTCAGAGTAGTTGATGCTGGCCAAGATATTCAAGAAACTATGGATATACTAGTAGAAAATGGTCTGGATCCTATGTCACAGGAATACGGTCTGATAAAGTACAATCTCTCATATGGTGGCAACTGCATGAGGTAATGGCCTTTTATATTTCATGCCTTCAGCCTTTTTTGAATTCATTTAGCTAAGTGACCGACTATCGTAATGATTTTGCTTGTGTTTATGTTCTCAGGTGCAATGAATGGTGCCGTTTACCCGTCATTACACCTTGTAGGCACCTTTTATGCCTTGTTTGTGTTGCTTTAGATAGTGAAAGGTGCCCGTTTCCTGGTTGTGGTAGCACATATGAAATGCAGAGTCCGCAAGAATTAGCGCGTCCAGAGAATCCTAGTCCCAAGTGGCCAGTGCCAAAGGATCTCATTGAGCTACAACCTTCATATAAACAGGTACAGTTAAGTTGGCTGTTTTTTTATTCTCTTTGTCCATGCGGCTAAGGTTACTAAAATCTGCCTAGGCGGCCGCCTAGTTGATAGGCGCCACCTGGCCGCTTCCGATTTGCAGGAATCGGCTGAAAAAATTGGTCAGGCGCTAGGCGGGCTCGGCGGCCAGCGGCTAGTTCAATTGGAAATATTATTTACACTTTCTATTATAATCTAATTAAACCTATGATGTTATTATGCCAGATTCAGTATTTCAAATATAGTGGAGACATATCTGTACCTAGTGGCAGATTTATGCTTAACCGCCATTATAAATTTGTGAAGAAAGGTGCTATGACTGTGCGCGAGCGGCCGCTGTGGTTGGATTTCAGCCTGCCACCAATTTCCGCCGTCTGCCATAACTAACACTGTGTAACAAGAAAATTATGTAAAATAATTTAATTGTTATTGAATTATACCAGACAGCTTTTTTAGATGTGTCTAAAGAACTTTCACTTTGTGTTGCAATGCAAGATAAGTAGTGCCATTGGTGGCTAACCTGACCATTTTCTTTCATATCTCTGTTTATGTCCTTAATTTTCTTATTTTCTAAAGATGCCTCTGTTTGATGCAGGATGACTGGAATCCTGATTGGCAGTCAACATCAAGCAGCAAAGTTACATATTTAGTTGAGCAGTTAAAGGAATTGCAAGAAACTAATAGGAGGAATATTGGGTACCCCATTGACAATAGTGAGGCTATGTCTAGTGAGTTGAATTTCTCCTCTGACAGTAGCATACCAGTAGAGAAGGAGGCTGGCCTTATGTTAAGAGATGAACAGAGCTCTATTCCTCTAGAGAAAGTCATTGTTTTTTCCCAGTTTCTGGAGCATATACACATCATTGAACAACAGGTAACTTATAAACCCAAGATAATCATCGGTTTTCATGGTTTTGTCTTTTCGATGTATGGGTTCATTTTCTTCATGTTTCCTCTGGTTTAGTATTGGAGACATTCAACTAATCAGTTAATTATCTTCAACATCATCCCAGTTAAGCATTGCAGGAATTCAATTTGTTGGAATGTACAGCCCAATGCTCACTAACATTAAGGTATGTACTCCTTTCCTTTTTTTTTTTTTTTTTTNTTGCATGTTATTTCATGAGTGCTAGTTGCTAATGTGCTCTTGTGGGATTCAGATGAAATCATTAACAACTTTCCAGCATGATGCAAATTGTATGGTTCTGTTGATGGATGGAAGTGCAGCTCTAGGTCTTGATTTAAGCTTTGTGACTCATGTCTATCTGATGGAACCTATATGGGATAAAAGGTAATTTGAGGGCATTTTAATATCGTCACTTGTAGAACTAAAACCATGACTGATTCTTTAGTATCATTTTCAAGTTTGGTTGAGGTGGCTCTTTTAGTATAATAACAGCATCTCCTTGCTTCTTTTGTAATTTGTTGCATCCTTGACCATTTGCCAACTATCACTTCTTGATTAAGTTTTAACTATGTTCTGACACTCTTCACGCCTTCTATTTCTATTGACTGGATTTATTGTTTTCTTAAATTGATTATAGCATGGAGGAGCAGGTTATTAGTCGTGCTCATCGAATGGGGGCTTCACGTCCTATTCATGTGGAAACTTTAGCAATGAGTGGCACAATTGAAGAGCAGATGATGAAATTTTTACAGGTAAATCTGAAGCTACTTGGGGACGACTATTATTGTTTTAGCTGTTTTATGTGTAATGATGTAATTTTACTTGCTATATACCATAGCCCAGAAATTTGTGTAATTTTGAACTAGGCAAAGCATGAACAACCTGTGAACAGTCGTATTGATGATGATAATTTTCTTGGTTTCATGTCACTGCATACTGTTTTTTTTTTATTAATTTATATCAACTAAAGTTGAGTACTCGCTGTAGGATGGCAATGAATGCCAAAGGCTTCTGAAGGATGAGTCCGGTATAAATGAGCTTGAGGGGGCACGTTCATTTCGGACATTACATGATTTTGCTGAGAGCAATTACCTAGCTCGTCTAAGATTTGTGCGAACTACTTCAAGGACATAAAAGGTGCATGTATCAATCTCTACCTTTGATTTCTCGCATGCTTTGTTTCTCCACATTAGCAACAGTTGCCATCAGTTGATACATATTGATTGATGAGTCCAATTTTCAGAACGACGTGGAGCAATTGTCACGTTGTGTGATAATCCTTGTCTAAGCATATGTATATTTGTAGGTGCTGGGAGTGACTTTTTCTTTTTCTCTTTTTTTTTTTTTTTTTTTTTTTTTT